GTTTACTTTCAGTGCTTCTGCTAGTGCTTCACCTCCTCTATCGGATATTTTGTTTCTGTAAAGATCAAGTTTAGTGAGAGTGTTGTTTACTTTCAGTGCTTCTGCTAGTGCTTCACCTCCTCTATCGGATATTTTGTTGACTGCAAGATCAAGTTGAGTGAGGGTGTTGTTTACTTTCAATGCTTCTGCTAGTGCTTCACCTCCTCTATCGGATATTTGGTTGTTTCGAAGATGAAGTATACTGAGAGTGTTGTTTATTTTCAGTGTGTCTGCTAGTGCTTCACCTCCTCTATCGCATATTTTGTTGTCTCTAAGATCAAGTTTACTGAGAGTATTATTTACTTTCAGTGCTTCTGCTAGTGCTTCACCTCCTCTATCGCATATTTTGTTGCCTTCAAGATCAAGTTTAGTGAGAGTGTTGTTTACTTTCAGTGCTTCTGCTAGTGCTTCACCTTCTCTATCGGATATTTCGTTCCGGCGAAGATCAAGTTTAGTGAGAGTGTTGTTTACTTTCAGTGCTTCTGCTAGTGCTTCACCTTCTCTATCGGATATTTCGTTCCGGCGAAGATCAAGTTGAGTGAGAGTGTTGTTTACTTTCAAATCGTTTGCAAGGATGTCAGTGGATTGTTCAAAAGCATTATGAGCCGTCTTGTCGTGTAATTTTACAGCCAGTCTTAGTGACGATAGTTGTATCATAGAGGGGAAGTGTGGCACGACGACTTTGATCAGTTGTTCTGTTTGGATGTTGAACAAGGATAAAGAGCGAAGATTTACCAATGTGCTCTTGGGAAAGTGGGAAAATAACAAGTCAGCGTAATTGAGCGTCTCGTCAGACAGACGCAGAGAACGAACTTGTGCTGTTGATGGAAAGTGTTCGCAGATAAAGTCACATCTGGATTTGCTGATGCGTTGAAAGTTGAGATCAAACTGTAGGCTGCCAAGTAGTTGATCGAAGCGATCGTTTAGTCGAAGGAATGAGTGGAGAATATCATAAGCATGAAGATATTCAAAGATTTCAAGAATCACTTCGTTCGCAAGCGATTGAAATTGTGTCACATCTAAACAAATGTGCGTTGTCGAGAGGTTGAATTCTTGGTGTCTCTTATATGAAGAGAGTCTCTGAAGTATAAGGAAGTGAGAATGGCAAGGTGGATACTTACTCTCGAAGATGAGTGACAGTGTCACACTGAGTGATAGTTCTTCCGAGTATTAGGCACGGTTCTATCCATCCCTAATATGGATGGATGGTCAGCCATTAGCATTTTACTATAGTCTTGACCATGGATATCATCTCTCTCTCTCTCTCCCTCCACTATTCTCAATACATTGCAATCATTAGCTTTGTGTGTGTCGCAGTGAATGTGGTTGAACAACACATGATCAACTTACCATTCTGTGCTTGCTTCAAACATTCATCGTTGCCACAAGTACTGAGCAAGCGGTTTGATGAGTCATGCTGCATCTCTCTTCAGGATATGACATCGACGTTTGTATTCATTCTGCTGTCAGTTGTAATCAGAGGATTGAATATATGCGATGTTTTTGCCAGCATTAGAACGCAAAGAGAGATATTTAATCTTTTCTTACATATGGATGCCTTTGGATGCGTAAGAGGAAAAATAACAGCATTGCAGAGGTTAAGTGTTTGCATAATGACATCATTGCTTTGTGTTTTTCTTTGCTGTTATCAAGACTCAACAGAAACGAAAATTGTTGTTTGAATTGTGATGTAACAGATAATGAGGCAACAGCTCTGACAAAGCATATCTTCTGTGCAGAGGGACATGCCTCATTTCTAACGTGTAGAAAACGAATGTGATTCCGCGAAGAAGGGAATGTGGCTTCTCCTGGATCATGATAGTCTCTGGCAAAAGTTAAGCGGAAAGCTCAAGAATGAACGGAAAAGGTGACAAAAATTGGTTAACTGAATAGCCTTGTGCCTAAGTTATCTCACTCATATCTTGAGCAGTATATCTATCCTCAAAAGAGATGTGCACGGGTAACGTTTTCCTACCCGTTCCCGACGCGCAAACGGCTTCCCGCTCGCAGTCGGCTCGACCGGAGAACCCCTATCGATGTTTAACCCGTACCCGACGTACGCCTAAAAATTTTCTCCGTTTCGTTTTCCAGCTAAAAGGCTTTTGTTCTTCGGCTGGAGATGTTAAAAAACGGAACCCATAACGGTAACTCATATCCGTACCCATCAGCTTTTGCTAGTAACCAACCTTCGGGTCGGGTTGCACGTCTTTAATTCGCAAAGGTTCGTGGGTAAGGCGCAAGAAGTATTGAATAACCTTTAATCGATAGCTGGATAAGAGATTTGAAGAGTCTAGCCGAGAGTTGAAAAAGTCCAAAATGGCAAAAAGCGACCAGAAAAACAATAGCTTTGAGAGAAATGTTGCCAAGTCATCCTAATCGTTCAAGGGAGGTGTGCCGAAAGTAAGAAGCTGGAGATAAAACATGCGTTTTTCCAAGAAAGATACCACGCTTGGGAGAAGTTTTTTAAAAATAAAATTAAGAGGATCAAAAGACCGTTTCTCTCAAAATACATGGGAGAATGGCAGGGAGAAAAACGTACTGGAGAGTGTGCACTTCTGCACACACAGTTGGCATGCACCTGGTTGTTACCTGTGAAAGAGAGAAATTGGCGACTACTGCAACACCAGCCCTACGGAAGGTACCCAATAGCTGTTGCTATACTTTTCGCCAATTATGTCAAATATAATTTTATCCAAATATGTTTCATCAAATGAAATCGATTAATATTTATTCAGTTATTAGTGGTCAGGTAGGTGAGAAATAGTTTTGTTTGACATTTGTCTAAAAATCAAACGTGCATTTGGACTTTTCATTTCCTTACGGTAGGTAGTTTTTCTTTCAATAAATGATTATCATAATTTCGAGAGGTATCCATTCGTTCTTTTTTCTCGATTTCAAACTATGTCATTTTGGTTAAGACTTAATCGAGCGTCGAAACAGTTCGTTACCATTCATAAAGTTTATAAAACATATTAGGTATTTTTTTTCCATCCCATAGCCAAGGAATTGAGTGTAGGCTTAAAATCCTTAATTTGCGTCGTTAGTAAAACAGAGGAAAACCTAAGGAAAGCATAAATCCAAAGTAAGCCGATATCGTGGTACCGCAGAATGAATGAGGCTAAAATAATTCTGCTTAAGCTATCCTACGAATCTATGATGTGCGGTTCATAGATTCATCTAGCTATCATGGTTCTTGAGTTACAGGGGGGGGTCGGTACTTTTGACAAGTACTGTATAAGATTCTTATAAGGTTTCTATACGATTGTCCTAAGATCGGTCGAATAGGCCCCATTGTCTATCGTATGTGGTGTTCCATCTGACATCAAGTTGGGTCAGAGTGTTGTTTACTTTTAGTGCTTCTGCTAGTGCTCTACATCCTCTATAGGACATTTCGTTGCCTGCAAGATCAAGTATACTGAGAGTGTTGTTTACTTTCAGTGCTTCTGCTAGTGCTTCACCTCCTCTATCGGATATTTTGTTTCTGTAAAGATCAAGTTTAGTGAGAGTGTTGTTTACTTTCAGTGCTTCTGCTAGTGCTTCACCTCCTCTATCGCATATTTTGTTGTCTCTAAGATCAAGTTTAATGAGAGTATTATTTACTACGTTAGATATGTTGCTATTATGAAAAAATATTTAAATTCAAAGCATTTTTATTTATCTTACGACTTTGACATTACAGAACATTTGGGAAAGCATCAACTAACTTAAAGATTGAAAATGTATCCTTTTTATTGTTGTTTCAAGAATGCGTTCTTTTGGATGCCCTTCTATACATTAGAGAAAACATAGTTTACACTGTTATAAACAAGATTTACCCTCATGTTTAAAAGGACGATATATTTGTGGCAGTGGAAATTGGAATTCAGGGGAATTCGGAATTCCACTAGTGGAAATTGGAATTCTAATCTCCACTAGCGTAAATTAGAATAAAGTGACTATTCTAATTTCAACTAGTGGAAATTGGGCTTCTATTTTCCACTATAGGGGAATTCCGAATTTCAGTAGAAATAAAATCACACAGATTTTTCTAATTTACACTATAGTGGAAATATATTTTATTTATTATATACTATACGTTTGAACAAACTTTTTTTTTACTGCTATGGCACATTTTACTTTTTTGGCTTTACATGGGCCAAGTGCATTATGTTATTATTATTTCAATACAACGAGTAATAACTGCTTCGAAATAAGTTCCGCGCATCAACTGGAATTTGCATGTCAAAGACCACTTCTCCAAATTCTCGTGGGGTTATCCATTACGGTGTAGATATGGCAGCAGAAGCTTGCCATTGTAAAGGCACGAAACATTGTCCATGTAAAGCCCAAAAAAAAAATGTGGTACGAAATGCCATAGCAGTAAAAAAAAAGTTTGTTCAAACGTATAATATATAATAAATAAAATATAGTAAAGTAGTACAAATAAATACACTCGGCTGAATCCTATTCTTTGCAAGTCATACTCTCAGAGTGTCGTCGATTTTCCGGTATGTCGAATCACGTTTGTTCTCCCAAGTCATTCGACGACCTGTGCAAGGAGTTTCGACTTTGAGTTGCACGCCTCCGTACAGAATTTGACACTTGACAAGTGTTAGAGTCGTTCGAAAATGTTTTTGCGTCATTCAGACGATATAGTGGCATTTGTAAATGTTTACATGATGTGGAACCATCAAGCAAATATTCTCTGCAGCTAGAGAAAATTTTCGCTCGAGCGAACTATCATTAATTATCAGTGACAAAACATTGTGTGCTTGTTGAATGAAGTGGGCGATGTCAGCCAATCTACTTTGTTTGTATTCGCCAAAACGATTGCTGCTCAATTTGATTTGAACGAGCTGCGAGAAATCGATAGTCGTCGAAAGAGACTGTAGCGAGACAAGTGGTCCATAGTCTTTGAAGATAAGTTCGAGCTTGGTTGCTTTGCAAAATAAGGGATGGTTTGTTGTGTGTTGCTCTCTGCAAAGAGTGAAACATAGATACTTTCAAAACTTTCATAGACGAAGTAAACATTAAATGTTTCCTGAAACGGTCTCAACTTTCATTTGGACGTTAGGAGGTAACATCCTGTGACACGAAGAATATATTCCTAGCACTAAATCTCGTTCAGTCACACACCTTTTGTTCAATGTCTGCAGCTATTATTGCTTTTGTCCAATTCAAACATAGAGCATCCACACTATTCATAATTGATGGATCATTGTCCACTATCTTACTAGAGGTGAAAACCGAAATTCTCTAATTCTAAGTGCAAGTAAGAATCACAGATTGGTATCGAATAGACGGATATGATATCTGAAATCCAGGTTCCACTACTTTTACATGAAACACACCCAACAAACCATCTTTTGTGTTCAAACCAGAACGATGTTCGAAATAGTGCTATTATCAACTCGATATTTACAGCATTTCGATCAGATTCTTTCAAAACACTGCAGAACAATTCGAATTGGTCCAGGTAGATTTGTTTGAATAAACTGTTCCCAGCGATTACCGTCAACCAAGCTCTCACCACCAATCACTCTCAGATCGATAAGGGAAGGCGTGAGTGAAAGCAGCAATTCGAGCTTGTCAATTGGATCCCACCAATAGTCAAAAATGAGTGAAGTTAACTGTGGAAAAGATGTTTGAAGAGAAGTCGGTAAGATACTAGCGTTTAG